GAATCTTTTAGAATGGCAGAAGGGTATCAATAAATTTGTATGGGCAGGAAAGAAGCCGAGAGTAAAGATGAAAATAATGCAAGATATACGCGAGAGGGGAGGCTTGAAACTAACCAATTTAAAACTATATTATGACGCAGTGGTGTTGTCCGTAATTAGTGATTGGATCAATTTAAGTAATGATAGGATACTGAACCTTGAGGGATATGATCTGGTATATGGTTGGCATGCTTACTTGTTATTTAAGTTACAACAGCATTGAAAAATGTGACTTGTGTAACTTCTGACCCTTTTTCACACTGATCATTGTGGCATCCCCATGATGAAGTGATCAAAAGTCAGACACGTGGCAGTTGGCATGTTCTTTGCATGTATAGTTGCAGTGCCGCAGGGTCATGTGATCACTTTTTATGACTTTCTGATAAGCAAAGTCAATGGGGAAGCCAGATTCACTTAATGATTGTGTTACTAACTTAACATCTCGAATGATTCATTTAACAACTGGCAAGAAATGTCATAAATGGGGCAAAACTCACTGAATAACTATCTTGCTTAGCAACCAAAATTGGGGGCTCGATTGTGGTCGTACGTTAAGGCCCACCTGTACTCCCTTTCTCCTTCTGTTTTCACCTTTTCCATCTACACTTAGTGGAGAAGTATCGAAAAAAGGAGAGAAGGCATAGGAAGCAGCAATTGCATTGGGAAGAGTCATGGTAGACTTTTGTGAGGAGAAAAGTATTTTGATTGATTAGTGAGTGATTGCGTATCATCAAGTCACTGTTGACCTTTAGCAATCCCATCTTGTAGATAGATTTCTCTATTACAATCTGTCACCAACAAGATTTTTCAAGTCTTCCAGTAATGGGCAAAAATAAATTGATCACTAAATGCCGATTCCTAAACACTTTTTCCTGAAGAATGTATATTGATTTTTCTGGATTGAACTCACCTATACAAGTATTTACGATTACATACCTAATTTATTTTTTCAGAATGTTGTTTGGTTATATTTCATAGAACTGGCAGACATTGTAGAAGGAATGATGTGTTCAGGTCTGTGGTAGCCAGAAATCAGGAGTCTAGTAGCATCATTTCAGACTAACATATTTATTAAAAATGAAGTAACCCCTCACTTCATCAGATGGATGTCTGTTTGCTAAGACTTTCTGGATTAGCCTGACAACTTTTGAAGTACACAGTCTCTTACTCAACATACATCAAAAGATTCAGGCTATTATAGAACATTTTAACAAACTCAACAGGTTTTTAACACATTTCAATTGTTAAAGTAGATGACTCAACAAACAGTTTTACAAGGACAGATCAGTTTGGTCCTAAATGTGACTTGGGCATACTAAATTAAAACTGGCGATAAATTTTTTACAAAGTATGTCATTAAGAACCTAACCACCAAGGTGCATGATAAAACTAACCAAATAGATCACAAGCTGGCTCCTAACAAAAAGCCTTTAACCTAGAAATAAGATAGACAAGATAACTTCTTTTTTTTTTTACTGTGAGCATACTGGCTCACATTGAAAATGAAATTCTGTTGCCTGCTCTCAAGAGAAAGTATATATCTTCCCAAACACATACATAATACACACATACACATCCTACATACATACATACATAAATAGTTTGACAGAATTATACAAGACTTGCTTCCAAATAAAGGATCTGAATGTTAACAATTAAAAGATACTGGGCAGCTTTTCTTAAAGCCAACCATTTGGCTGCATTGATTTATCAGTTTAATGGACTCAGAGAGAGGTGTAATTATAGAAGATAACCAAAGACCAAGAGGACAATGCAAAGAAGAGTTTGAGCTGCCCTTCTTTTGTTAGAAAGAAACGGGAGCTTAAACCTAAATTTAATTAAGGGATTAAAAAAAAGAAGTCTGGCATGTGATTAATCTGAAGACAGTATTTAGGCTATTTTGAATTTTGTCTCCCTCTATTTATATAGTAATTTATTTGGTTCATTATTTAAATTGATGTATTCTGCAGTTCCTTATAACCCATATCAAGCTTCCAGTTGGCATTAATTTCTCAAGACTCATAGAAATTAACTACACTATAAAAAGGAATGGGAGAGAAACGAGGAATATAAAGATCTTCTTAAACATCGAACGCTAATTCACCTTTCGCCTTGGGATATTGGACGTATATGAGTAAACTTCTTGTCTGTTATATCTTTCCTTACTTCTGTTCAACAGGCTATGGGTGGGTCAAAGAGAAGATGGAATGCTGGCCAGTCAGGACCCATCTCTATTTGCAAGGACTTGCCCTCCCCTCCATGAGGGCATAAGAAGAATCTTCATGAAAGTGTCATAGAAACAAACAATTGCCTTTCATAGTACTACTTAGTGTTCTAGAACCCAAAGAACAAGTAGGAAAGTCTATACTGTGTGTCAGGAATTAGGGTGAATCTATATATGTGAGAGATCCATGATTAGGTCTCCTAATGTAATTTCTTATATTGTAAAAGAAAGGCTTGGATGGGAAAAGGGGCACTGATCTTTCCTTACACACACACACGTATATTTTCCTAGGCAAATTTCTTCTAATACTATTTGCCTTGGAGGTGAAAATCTGTTAGACCAACACATTCTGAAAATACATGGCAATAATTCACACTAATAAATAAATTTGCTTGGGGTCTAAATATACTATTTTCCCTCTAGATTATACCTGTGTTTCCTTACCATTTCTTTCTCTTTCTTCTAGAAAAAATCCACTCAGAAAGGAAAGTTGCGTAATGTCTTTTGACAGCTAAAGCTACAACTCTTTCATTTGGCATCACTTCTGAATAAGTACATTTGTCCATTTGATTTTTTTAAAACAACAAGACTACAGAGTGATGAAAGGATGCTGGGGAGAAACTGATAAATTCATACAAAATGCTTTGAAGCTCAGAGGGCTAAATTCACAAAATTTATAACATTTATATCAGTATGATGGCCTGCAATTCCAGACTTAAAAAAAGATGGACTCCATACATCTTTGGACATGTCTAAAATACTACTTTAGATGAAGTCACAGCCACTACTTTTAATTTCTGCCAAAGGATGACTTTAAGATTTAGGGATAGCCTGCATGTAGAATAAATAACACATTTGATATCCTTTTGAATAATCATTGTGTTTCAGTTAAAGCTGATATTCTTTATCTAGAGATTTTCAGAAGTCTAGAGGAAAACAGTCTTCACAAAACTGTATTTAATATTATGTTTAATCTCTTAGATTTGTAGGGTTCCCATATGGATTATAGCCTAAAGCATAGTTTTGGGAATGTGGTGATCATTAGTTAAGTATAACACAGAACAAAGAACCATGTAAGCAATACTTCCCATACAAAATTGCATATATTGAAACAGATAATGTTATCTCTTAAGGTGACCTTCCCCCCAAAACAAATAAAATATTAGCAAATTTATGGTTCTCACAAAAATGAAACTCACTTGCATTTTTATGCATTGTATGAATGGAAATGTATATTTTGATCAAAACAGAAGAATTCTCTTTTCTTAACCCAGACTACGGTTACCAAAATTGCAACAATGCAAACCTGTATCTTATTAAATAAATGCAAGAAAAAGATACACATATTTTGTATATCTTCAATTGTGTCTAATGTACTGAATCTGGTGCATACATGTAAGTATCTAAAGGCACGGTCTCACACTTTCTACTGCAGCCTATCGTGTAAAACAATCTTAGACTACTCTTGCACTCCTACACATAGCTATTGGGAGAAACCAAGACTGCTTCTTTCCTAATACTTTGTCCCAGGCAACAGAGGTGAAAGGGAACTTACATATCTTAGTTATGCAACTGACCACAATTTTGACCACAATTGAGTCCAACATTTCTGCTAACGAGATATTTATTAAGTTTTGTCTCATTTTACAACTTTACTTGCCACCATGGTTAAGTGAATCACTGCAGTTGTTAAGTTAGTAACACAGTTATTAAATGAACCTGGCTTCCTCATTGACTTTGTCAAAATATTGCAAAAAGTGCTCTCAAAACCCCAGGACACTTAATCATCATAAACATGAGTCAGTTGCCAAGCAGCTGAATTTTGATCACATGACCACAGGGATGCTGCAATGGTGGTGTGAAAAACACTTGTTTCAATGCTATTCTAACTTTGAATGGTCACTAAATGAACTGTTGTAAGTTGAGGACTACCTGTATTTGCTCACCCAGGTTTGATTAAA